TTATTTTTATTCCTTAATGAATTAATATAGGATTATATCGTCTTGGTTACTCTAACTATAAATAGAGCTATAACTTCCTTGGAACATTATTAACGGGAATGAAGTTGAAGAAGTGAATGAGTGAAACCATAATTCCCTCTACTATTATAGGTACCAACCATGAAATACAATAAAGATTTTGAGTAACATTATACGGGGTGTCCCAGAAATATTCTCTTTATCGTTTTTCAAATAAGTTCAAAATAACGGAGTTATTTTACTTTGAAAATCTCAAAAAAAAGATTTTTTGCTAAAATTTTGAGAACAACTGGATCTCTGGATTTCTGGATTTTCTTTCTTGTAAATTTAATCTAATACCTATGTTGTCATATTATCAAGAAATTATGTTTTGTAACTAAAAAAAATTCCAAAAAATTTCGGGAAAAATACCTCATAGGCGTGTTTCTGGGGTTGAACTATACTACCAGTTAAAATACTTGCACTTATTTCTGGGACACCCTGTATACATAGATCTTTTATACACTTTAGTACAATATACTTCAGAACAGTATATGTGCCGAATTCAAAGGCGTTTTTTTTTTGACAAAAGCAAAAGACTGAACTCGATTTATAAACTTTATTTCGATGTTATCTTTCTTTTTTCTTCTTCTTGGTTTTAACATCATCGTACGCCCTTATTGGCTAAACAAAAAAATACACACAAATTAATAAGTCCATATAGGGTCAATCTATTGAGTTATAACGAGCGCTTGGCTATCTAAGAAAATCCATTAAGGCGAGAGAATACAGATATGGAAAAAGTACAATCAAGCGGGCGATTTTCTCTTTACAGTTAATTGGCAAACTGGTATCGAAATGAAGTTAGTCGTTAAGCAAATGGCATGGCGCCGAACTGGGCGGGAATTTATCGACATAAAGAAATAATTACGGATTTTATGAGGATGATGACGTAATAAATGATGACCGTTTTGAGAATCTTCGTTTGGAAATAGATAAAAATTAGAGAGATTGAGTAACGACGTATTAGCAAAATAAAAACACTAAATCACCACAATACACCAAAACACTTTTACTTTTACACTGGACGCGCGTTTCGCTAACCATGTTAGCATCATCAGCAGATCATTATAAGCTAAAGTACAATCTACAAGTTGAGCGTTTATATACTTGCCCAGTGGGCACCGAGTGGGCGTGGCAAAATCTAGCCAACCGAGTCAGAGCCAACTGAGCGTAACAGTTAGATTTCCGCCACTAGAGTAGTATGAACAAAGAACTTGAAGGAATTGGACCGTTGTCTCTGTTCATACTATCTTTACATTTATTAATTCTGATGCTTTCATATGCATCTAATTGCCTGTAATTTGAGATTTGTTTAATTAATTTTAAATTATTAAGATCTATCCCAAGCAGCATTTGGACGTCGGGACAACGTTGTGTCACGCGACCAAACGTCGGGGCGCAACGTCGGCACAACCTCGTGCCAACCCTAGTCTGCACTAGTTTGGAGAATCATTTTTGGGTCGAAACGACGTTGGATACCGACGTTGGCTAGAAGCCTAATTTAGTACAAACTGCAACGTTGTTTAAAATCCTAATTCACAGAAATATAAAACTAATATGGCGTCTAAGTCGCGTTTTATCCTAAATTGGGATAATTATAGTAAAAATATTATTTTTATGATTTAGTTAGAGACATATGTCAGATGGCAGTGAAGGAAAACAAAACAAAAGTATTTAAGTGTGGAGGATGTTTGAAGATCATAATTATTGAAACACTTTAACCGACTCTGTAACTCGTTACCCAAGGCAAAAAAGTTAAACGCAAACAACTTTATTGATAAATGTATTGTTTCTACTTTGAAAAATACTAATGGGCTTTAAAATTAAAGAAGTTTTAAAAATTTTCTTGAATTTTTTTTTTAGTAAAATGAGAATAATTTATCCGCAGTCGAAAAAATTGTTTCCGCGTGTTTTTTCGGGTCAAATATTTCAAGTTAATGTATTCAAAAAGCAGGAATTGCTATTTTAGGAACGAAACATTTTCTTATTTAACAACATGGCAGCTTTCATTTTGTTGTTTTGGAGATTAAGATGGAGTAGTTCGAGTAGTCGCATACTGGACTAATAAAGTCGCAGTTCGGCCGTAACAGGTAGTATACTAGTCGCAAGATTGCCTAATTTAGTCATCCTAGAGTCTAGCTTGTGCCGCTCTCTAAAATCTAAATAAACGAGGGAGTGGATAAACTATCGGTAATATATGTCGATGTATTTTTAAATTTAGTTTTATATGTACCTTTCTTATGTCCCATTTTAATTAAGTTTTTTTTATAAAAACAAAAACAGCACTGAACTGTCTGACTGAACGGAACAATGAAGTGAAAATTTAAGATTTAAGGTTATGGTTCAATACACTTGCAAAAAGGTAGTGACTCGACGTCCTGCCAACGTAAGAATAAGGAAATCTAAACAACGTTGGAAGTAGTAAAACAGGCGACGTTTGCATAACGTTGGAATAGGTCCTGAAACTGACGTCGGAAAACTCTATATTGTCCAACGTTGTAACTACGTTGTCCGAATCACCTAAAGATCACTTAAGCATAAATGGTTACAAGACAATGTTTATTCGACGTCGCAGAAGCTTCTACTTTGCTGTAGTACTAGTCCAACGTCGGCACAACGTTATAAAAACGTTTAAATTTATTTTAATACCTAAGGTAGGGAGCTAACTATTTTTTGTAACTAATCCAACGTTGTGTTTAGTAAACATGTGGTCGCAAGTCGTGAAAATGCTACTTGGGTATACAATGTTCTTTATCAACAATATGTTCGGCAACACAAGATTTATCCGGTCTACCATATCTTATCTGAGCTAAATGTTCTTTAAATCTAGTTGATATTGATCTTCTAGTTTGCCCAACATATTACGTTATTGCCCGACGTATTAGACCAAATTAATTGCACAAAATGTAAAAAAGTCAAGTCTGGCAACGCAGTACAAAAATTTGAGATATCTCATGTAAAACTAAGCCAGTTATTTTTATTGTTCTTTTTTTATTTTTTAGTTATAATGATCTATGCTATTGATGAATATAAACATTTATAATGATATTGATAATTATACAGGGTGGTCCGAACTGTATTCCGGAAACTTCGACAGCATATCCTGCAGATAAAAATAAGTAAAAAGTTCGTATAAATGGATGTTCTAAAATGATTAGTTTCGGAGATACAGGGTGTAGAAGTTTCAATTTTATTTGGATTTATTCCAAACAATTTCTGAAATAACGTCAATATTTGGATGAAAATTGGTGTCGTTTTTTGACATGAGAAATTTGATTTTGATGTCAATATGACTTCTACTTGTAGAGGGCGCCACCTACATATTTTTTAACTGCTTTGAAGAGTAATAACTTTTTGTCCGTACTTGTATAAAACTAGTGAGTTAAAAAATATACATTTACGACGTCTTTTACGCAAAAAAGGTCTCTTGGTAAAAATCGCTACGAGTAATGGTTCTCGAGATATTTGGAATCGAAATTATCCTGAAAACTAAAAAAAACTAAAACATAAATTAAACATGCGTTGACTAAATAGTTATTAAAGTGAAATCATCAATTTGAAATGTTTTTGTACCAAAAGTTCAACAGAAACTGTTTTATCATCATTTTTTCTAAGAAAATTTTATGAATAATCATTTCAGTCAAATAATTATATCTACTATCTAGTCAACACCATGTTTATTTTTTGTCAATAATGACATGTATTGACTATTTCCATTGCAAAATAAAAACACTAAATCACCACAATACACCAAAACACTTTTACTTTTACACTGGACGCGCGTTTCGCTAACCATGTTAGCATCATCAGCAGATGATTATAGACTAAAGTACAATCTACAAGTTGAGCGTTTATATACTCGCTCAGTGGGCACCGAGTGGGCGTGGCAAAATCTAGCCAACCGAGTCAGAGCCCACTGAGTGTAAAAGTTAGATTTCCGCCACTAGAGTAGCAGGAACAAAGAACTTAAAGGAATTGGACCGTTGTCTCTGTTCATACTGTCTTTACATTTATTAATTCTGATGCTTTCATATGCATCTAATTGCCTGTAATTTGAGACTTGTTTAATTAATTTTAAATTATTAAGATCTATACAATGTTCTTTATCAACAATATGTTCGCAACGCAAGATTTATCCGGTCTACCATATCTTATCTGAGCTAAATGTTCTTTAAATCTAGTTAATATTGATCTTCTAGTTTGCCCAACATATTTCTGATTACAATCTTTACAAGAAATTTCATAAATACCTGACCTTTCCAGTGGAGGTGTTTTATCTTTTGGATTATCTAATAATTGTTGTAATTTATTATTAGCACTATACACAAGTTTATAATTGACATTCTTAAAAATTCCTTTTAGACCACGGGATAACTCTCTATCAAACGGTATCGAAAAATATTTAGACGTATCTTTCTCCACTTGAAAAGTCGAATTTTCAGAAATCATCTCCATATTGCCATTCTAAATATCTTGAGTAACCAAGTGATATATTTTGCGTAAAACATGTATAATTTTTCACTCAGTAGTTTTATACAGGTACGGACGAAACGTTATTAGGTACTCGTTAAAACAATTAAAACATGTGTAGGTGGCGCTCTCTGCAAATAGGAGTCATATTGACATCAAAATCAATATTTCTCATGTAAAAAAACTACCAGACACCAATTTTCACCCATATATTGACGTTACTTCAGAAATTATTTGGAAAAAATCAAAATTAAAATGAAAATTCTACACCCTGTATATCCGAAAACAAGCATTTTAGGACACACATTTATTAGAACTGTTTTGCTTATATTTATCTGCAGAATAGACTACCGAAGTTACGGAATCCAGTTTGGACCGCCCTGTATAGAAACAAAGATGTAAAAAATAAATATAAAATAATTAAAAAACAATAAAGGAAAAAAAATAATTTTTATTTTATTTTATTACAGAATGCAACTGTAACGGCTACTCAAACCGATGCATGTTCGACCAAAAACTCTACGACGAATCTGGACACGGTGGACACTGCCTGGACTGCGCCGACAACAGAGACGGACCAAACTGTGAACGATGCCGTCCGAACTACTACATGAGAGAAGACGGATATTGCACTGCATGCGATTGTCACAAGATTGGCTCGTTGTTCCAGCAGTGTAATTCTCAAGGGAAATGCCAGTGCAAACCTGGGGTAACTGGGGATAAATGTGATAGATGCGCGGACAACCACTACGATTTCTCTAAATCAGGTTGCAAGTCTTGTGATTGTAACCCTTCCGGATCAGCGTACAATACTCCTCGATGTGATCCATCTACAGGTAATCACAGTTTGTCTTTTATATTTCAAAATGTATCTAGTACTCTTAAAGAGTGACGCGCTTCCGTTCTAAATATATTTTTTTAACATTTTAATAAAAAAAGAAACATTTTATATTATTATAATATACAGAGTTGTTCACCACATACGACACGGAGTATTGTAGCGAAACCATTAAATTTTTACAAATTGTAAATTTTAGATTCGTTGAAGGGCTATTAGAGCTACAATTTAAAAATATTTTTACAAGACACAGAGTATCCCAAATAAGTAAAAAATATTATAGTTGTATTTTTTTAAATGGAACACCCTATATGTTACTCTATTTTTAGGTTCTACGATTGAAATAAAGGTAAATTTGATTAAGGTTTATCACACTTAAACCTTACCGTTTTTGAAATATTTTCAATTTTATGAAATTGCAGTAAAAATTTTAAGGCTTCATTTCTCCAAGGGTATCAAAGATTTTAATACTAAATATTTACTGAAGTTTATTTATTGATCAGATATTGTGTTGCAATAATAAACAAAATACTATCTTATACAGAGTATCTAAAAATTTATTTTAAATAATTACTAGCTTTAAACGGCAATAACTTGTTTATTTTAAATGGAACACCCTATATATTTTACGTGAATCAGATGCACAATGTAATTGTCTATCAAATTGTATTATATAATTTTTTACCCATCTCCTCAAGTTTTCGTAGAAAATGCATTTTCTAATAATTTAGACCTCATTTATCACTATACCCATGGAATATTGACATTTTAGATTTTTTTTAAAGCAACAAATGTACAAGAACAGTACAGACTAGTAATATTATCGTTTTTAGCAAAACGATAATAGTAGTGATGGGCAAAACTGTTATTTTTAGATAACAGTTGAAACTGTTATAGTTATTTATAAAAAACAGCTTAAAATAACAGCTTAAAAATAACAGGTTTCTTTATTTTATTGCTAAATATCTGAAAGAATATGAGGCGGTCACCGCCAGGCGTATTAACGCAGTTGCAACAATGACGTGCTCGGTGGTAGTATTTCCAGGGTGTCATAACATTTCTAAATATCGATTGTTATCTAAAATACCTCTCTAAAAACGGGGGTTGTTTACAAATAAGCGCTGTTTACAAATTGCGATATAAAAAAGCCAAAATGCCGCCACTCGTCTATATCTATAAATTCCGATCTACCTACGCCCTACCCCTCGATCCGCGTAGATTCTGAATTGCGTAGCAGTGTACAGGGTGCATCTCACTCGACGGGCGAGAAGCTCTTCGTTATGATTTTACCATTTGCGGTCAAAAAATAGCAATATAAGAAAATGTGTAGTATATTCTTCATAAGTAAACCAACTACACACTAGAGTTCGAATTAATTTTACACTTAAACTAGCATGTACAGTTTGACAAATATAGGAAGAGACTTGGGGATAGCACCGGTCGCGCACACGATAGAGAGAGAACGCATTCGGCGGAAGAGAGATGCAGTTACGCTACGAAAAATCTGATTGAAGCAAATTTGTGGGATGTCCACTGCGCATCGGGGGGCGTCTCTTATTTTATATTTCTCACGTCTCTAGCTATACTTGTTAAGTTGTACCCGCGACTTCGTTCGCATCGAATTATTAATTTGTAATGGTGATGATAAAGCAAAGCAAGAATTTCCATTAACATACAAACTGGATAAAATTTTCTCACATTTGCCAAAAATATGCTTTAAACGTCGAGCAGTTTAAGCAGAATCGTGGTTAATCAATTACTCAACTTTTTGGAACACCCTGTATTATTTTTTAAAAAATTTCAAAATATGTAAAAAAACAAAATAAATTATGCGTGTCCAATCGTTTTCCCGAAAGACTAACCGTTTTTTAAATAATAAATATTGTAATATTTGAGGGGCGTTTTCACCCTCTTGGAATTTGAGATTCGAGAAACCCCTCCTTATCGCACCTCTACACCCCACAGTCAATCCGTTTACCAAAAATCAGCTTTAAACGTCAAGCAGTTTAAGCAGAATAGTGATTACTCAGTGGTCATATTTTATGAAACACCCTGTATATATTTTGTAAAAATCTCAAAATATGTAAAACAACAAAATAAAATATACGTGTTTAAGAGTTTTTTCGAAAAACTCACCAGTTTTTAAATAAAAAATATTCTAATATTTGAGGGTGGTTTCACCCCCTTAGAATTTGAGTTTCGAAAAATCCCTTCTTATCGCACCTCTACACCCTAAAGTCAATCCGTTTTCCAAAAATCAGCTTTTTACGTCAAGGGCTTTAAGCAGGATCGTGATTAATCAATGACCAGATTTTTCAAAACACCCTGTATACATTTTTAAAAAATCTTAAAATATTATTCTGAAAATTTTTCAGAATAAATAAATACTTAAATATTGAAACTTAATAACAAAGTATTGAAACATACAGCGCCATAATATCTCGACCTCCGCCCGTTATGCTCGTAACAGGTTGAAAAACAATATGTATCTAAAACAACTGATGCGTTATTCTCCAACCTGTTTCAAACCTCCGATTATCTCGAACGCCGTTCTGTTATGCTCGTAACAGGTAAAAAAACAACATAGCTAAAACAACTGATGCGTTATTCTCCAACCCGTTGCGAGCCTCCATCGACAATCGACCGATGCAGCAGCGCTCCTTTCCCACTCCTGTTATCTCGACAGCCAGGCGTTATGCCCGCAACTGTTTCAAAAAAGCTGCTTCTTTTATATCCTATTATTTTTAAGCTGTTGTCAGCCCAACACGACGCGCCGCGCCGTAGCGCATACCCCACTCCGTTGTCCGTTGTATCTCGCCGCCTGTATCGATGGTTGTCGAAATAATAGGTTTTCCATCCATACTAGTTGTTTTTTGGAATTGCTTCGAGCAGCATCGAATTTCGTGGCGGTGCAGAGCGCTGACTTCGTTTCACGAACACTCGATCTCTGCGTGTTGTTATTTTATATCTGTTATTTTTTAAAAGCAGTAACGGTTGCGTTATGTTATTTCTAAATAATTGTTATAAAATAACAGATAGTTAAATAACAACCCATCACTACCCATTTGTATGCAAAAAGAAAACTATTTAAATCTTTATAAAAGAGTATACCATTAATTAAATATAACACCATTATTTCCGCCCATATACTAACTAATTACATACTTAATTGTGTTCGTTAATAAATTATTATAAATAAATGTGGATTTGAGTCAGAAATCAATATAATAATAAGTTATCAAATTAAAGTCTTTGTTGTTATAAATAAGCATTTATTAAAAAATGAAATATCATTTTTAAGGTGTTACTTTTTATCACACTATCTAATGCCCATACAAAATTCAGTTTTTTAGTATTTGGAGCAATTATTATTAATCAACGCAAACAGTCAGTTAATGTAGTTTGAATACGGCATCATATTAATTGGTCCTCTTTAACAAATATTTAAACAGTTTTTTTTTTATTTTTTAATGAAATAAACGAATTATATCGACAATATTAGTATCTGTACTCTTTAAAAATTTGGTACATCTTTAAAAATGACCTAAAATGTCAATAGTCCATGGGTATATTGATAAATAAGTTCTAAATTACAAGAAAATGCATTTTCTACGGAAACTTAAAGAGATAGGTAAAAAATGGTTTAATATAATTTGATAGACAATTAAATTGTGCATCTGATTCTAGTAAAATATACAGGGTGTTCCATTTAAATTAAACAAGTTATTGCCGTTTGAAGCTAATAATTATTTAAAATAAATTTTTAGACACTCTGTATAAGGTAGTATTATTTTTATTATTACTACACAATAACTGATCACTAAATAAACTTCAGTAAATATTTAGTATCAAAAATTTTGATACCCTTGGAGAAATGAAGCCTTAAAATTTTTACTGCAATTTCACAAAATTGAAAATATTTCAAAAACGGTAAGTATAATAAATCTTAATCAAATTTACCTTTATTTTAATCGTAGAAACTAAAAATGTAATAATATACAGGGTGTTCCATTTAAAAAAATACAACTTTGATATTTTTTACTTATTTGGGACACTCTGTATCTTGTAAAATTATTTTTAAATTGTACCTCTAATAGTCCTTCATCGAACCCAAAACTTACAATTTGTAAAAATCTCATCGTTTAGCTACAATACTCCGTGTCGTATGTGGTGAACAACCCTGTATAATATAAATTTTTGGACACTCTGTATAAGGTAGTATAATTGGATATTAGTATGATGTTCAACGCTTTCAGTACATCGACGTACCTAGATCTAGCAGTTAACAGAGCACACTGTCTAAATTACCATTGATTACGTATATACGTAAATACGTAAATTACGTATGGTTTAATCTTTTTAATGTTCTTTATCTAGATCTAGGTTTTGAACTAGATTTTCAAGTATCTTCCATGTACTCTTACTCTGAGCAAAATTCAAATAAATTTGTTCCACAAAATCAAAAGAGTTGCTTATTTCAGAGACACTGCCATTTGCGACCAAATTGAGATTCTTAGCAGCACTATTTTTTATTTATATATAAGAAGTAATAAGGAAATGATCAAAAATCAAGTATCATAATCCAATTAGTAATGTTCATCAATTAGAATAATGAGAAAAAAGCATATGTGTAGTTGGAGCAAATTTCTACTCTTTGGCTGTATTATTATCAACCACATTCAAAGAAAACTCATAACAACTTTATACATTTTTCAGGTTATTGTTTTTGTAAAGACAACGTAGAAGGCAAACAATGCCAAGACTGCAAACCTGGCTTCTTCAATCTTCACTACGACAACGAATTCGGATGCACTCCTTGCTTTTGCTACGGCCATTCTTCCCAATGTAAATCAGCACCGGGGTACTTCGAGTACCTCCTAGAAAGTACCTTCGCAAAAAGTTCTGAAAAGTGGAAAGCCGAGGACCCTTACGGTAGAAACGTGCCGTTGAAGTACGAAGGGATCAGTCAAAGTATTGGTGTCCAGGCTAAGGAGGAAGAGGCTATTTATTTCGTGGCTCCACAGAGGTTCTTGGGTGACCAAAGAGCTTCCTACAATCAGCTGTTGGATTTTTCTTTGAGAGTTGGCGATAGTAGGCCTATTCCTACTGCAACGGATATTATATTGGAGGGTGGGAATTCTTCAATAACCAACACGATTTTTGCTCAGGATAATCGAATACCTTCAATGGAGGTAAGTAGCATTTGTCACTTTAAAGGTTGATTCTCACTATACCTTCCGTTTCCATTCCATATCCGTTCCGTATTTTTGGTTGTATTCACGCTATATACATATGCTTCCGTTCCGTATCAGTTCCATACGTTTTATTGGAGAATTTATATCATTACGAAAGTGTTATTTTAAAAATTTGTATCTTTTGAAAAAGGTAATAGATTTAATTAAGAGGTGAAAGAATAAATAAATATCTGCAAAATGTTAACAGAGCTGGTACAAATGTAAGAATTTGACAACGCTGTTTCCGATACGCTTCAGTCCTTTCGCCAAAAAAATGTATGAAAGGAAAGGATATGAAAGGGAAGGGAAACGGAACGGATAGTGTGCGTTGTCCTATATTCGTTTACTTGATATAATATTTTACGTAAAAGGAAGGTAGCTGATACGGAAGGTATAGTGAAAATCAACTTTAAATGGACATCTTGGAGGAACCATCCCCAAAATAATAAAACAGTAGAAAGTAGACATCCTCTAATTTTTATTTCAACCAAAATTTGCTCAAAGTGTGATACCGTTGATTAAAGAAATAAAAAAATGCGCAACTTTATTTCCAGTTTAGTAGTTCTGCTTTCAGTCGACAGAGTCAGTGTTTGCCGGAGACAGGATTGCCAGATTAATCCGTAGATTTACGGATTTTTTGTACAGTACGTTAATAATACTGATTTTCTATCGTTAAACAATTTAATGTAATATTATATGATTAAATAAAGAATGGCGTCAGAGTTGGCTTGGAAATGAAGATCGCTGTTATTTCATATGGAAAATATTATGGTAAATGTCAATAATCGTCATTTCTAAGCCAACTAAACCACTTTTTTCGATCACACGACATATTCAGTAGATATAAAAGAATTTTTATTTATGTTGTTTGTTTTATGTTTAACACAAACAAATTTTCAATACATAAACGCGGATTTTTCATCCAAAGATATTTTCGTCAAACGTATTACAGATATTGCGCATTTTAATATGGCAACACTGTCGCTTTCAAATACACACCGTCTTCGATATGCCTTCGCTGGCCGAATTGGAGAAAATAAGTGTTTTATGCGTTGACCGCAGAACGATTGGTGTCTCCACCGTAGAGCACTTGAGACGTAAGGATAAATCAAATCAGCCTTGTCAAGAATTCATCCATTAAATTGCGTATTTTCCCAATTCTTTCAATCAACGGTGATACTAAAAGTACTACTACTAATTATTATTAAAAATAACACTATTAAATCATTTGCAGACCCAAAATTACAAGTTCAGGCTGCACGAGCATCCAGACTACGGCTGGCAGCCTAGAATGTCCTCTAGATCGTTCATTTCCCTCCTTACAAACCTCACTGCTATCAAAATTAAAGGAACTTTCGCTCCGAGAGGCGTGGGCTTCTTGGACGATGTTAAATTAGAAACAGCATCGAGAGGAATTGCTGGAAAGCAAGCATTGTGGATCGAACTATGCGACTGTCCAACCGGTGAGGTCTATGTAGCATTTTTTATGAGTATTTATGAAAAAATAGGATTTATGAGTATTTCTGAAAAAATGTATATTTTTTCACTTAGCATTCCTCTAAAAGTACAGATAAAAAGTTATTACTCCTCAAACTAGTTAAAAAATATGTAGGTGGCGCCACCAAATAGGAGTCATATTGACAACAAAATCAATTTTCTCACGTAAAAAAACACCCACCAATTTTCATTTAAATATAGACAGTAGTTCAGCAATTATGTGGAAAAATCGAAATTAAAATGAAACTTCTACACCCTGTATCTTCGAAACGAAGCATTTTAGGACATTAACTTTTTTTACCCATTTTAATCGATAGAATAAGCTGCCTAAGTTTTCCGAATATAATTCGGACAACCCTGTATTATACTAATTTATAAAGCGGCGTCACAATAGTCTTTGAATTAAAAATTGTGGTTGTGTCAGTAACTTTTTACATTCTTCTAAATTAAAAATTGGATTTGAAATATTGACAATTTGATATATGAGTTGACTTTGACTGATTTTCAGGGTATGTTGGACAGTTTTGCGAGTCTTGTGCTCCGGGATATCGGCATTCACCGGCTCACGGTGGTCCGTTCACAAACTGCATTCCCTGTGATTGTAACAACCATGCCAGCATCTGTGATTCCGAGACAGGAAGGTGTATCTGCCAGCACAACACAACCGGCGAAAACTGCGAGTTTTGTAGAAGGGGATATTACGGAAACGCCTTAGCTGGTAAGAATATTTTATTCGCTATTTATTATTATTTATTATTTTCACCCATAGGCATGTGTAATATGTGTAATTATGAGCTATCCAAATATAGGGACTGTTCAGCCATCGTGCACCCTTACGTCATCATTATTTGTCAAATATTTAGGGTGCGTCTGAGATCAGTTCATATTGCTTAGAAAATTTTAAGTACGTTCCTATATTATTGATTGAGCGAGTTTTGTTTTTCGGCATTTATTCATTTTTTCTTGAACTCTTCATCAGAACGAACATCTTGAACTCTTCATCCCTTTAATTCCAATCTTTTGGACTTTTGGACTTTTTTTGGACTTGCAAGAGTGTTCTACCAGCGTTTCTTTCTCGAAAAAAATAATTTATTTATTATAAGCTTAGCAATGAGTTTTTGTTCATTTTGGTTAAATCTTTGAGGCATTTTTGCAATAAAAAAATTTGAATTTTGTTTTACAAGAGCAATCAAATTTTATTTTGATATTGATCGATGTCCGTTAATAAAATTATAACCCCAAATGACAATGACAATTACTAAAAAGAATATGCGGTAATTTACGAAATGACGTCACCAATCTTTTTCATCTGGTTGGCAAGTGATTGAGAACAATTGTTCGACAATATATGACGTGACGTCGAACAATGGTGAACATTCTATACAATAGTGATGAGCGAAATTAGTCTTGAGTCTTGTCTTACGGTCTTGGTCTTTGTCTTGCATTGAAGGGCAAGACCAAGACTAAGATGATTAGCTGTAGGTCTGCAAGATCAAGACAGAGCAATGCAAGACTTACGTAAGACCAAGACCAATACCGATCGAGGATCCAAACATCCAGATCAAACCAAGTTAAGATCTTGCATGACAAGACCAAAATTACTTATTAGACTGCAAGACCAAAGGACTCTTTCACTAATTTACAGTATGTCCCCTCATTGTCCTTACAAGAGGAAAACAACTTTTTTATTACCAACGTTTTGAGAAAAGTGCTTTGCAAAAACAAAATTTTTGCTTGTTCTAAAATGGTTAATCCTGTTTGTAATTTTAAAAATTTCCATACGGTTTTCGACAGAATTAAAAAAAATATGGTTCCTAAAAAAAGTGCTAAAAATCAAAAGGCGTTTCTATGGTAATATAATTTCTATTTCATTCTTTGATAGATGGCTTTGAATAAGAAAACTAAGGAAGGAGCATATCAAAAATCTTAGGTACACCGCGATGGGCCTCAAATATGGCCGACTTAAATTCCGGTTTATCAGTGCCGTTCTAATTTTATTTAAAAAATTTAAAACTATGATGTAGGGTAGACGTGGGGTAGACTCAATAATGTGTTATTTTATTTTACTTTGTGAATAAATGTTGGTAGTTATTAAAATTGTTATAAAAATATATAATTCTAATAAAAATAGATAAGTTATAATAAGTATTTATTAACACAAACATCCGATACGCTACTGAAGCAGGTAAGTCAAATTAACGTATCAAAATTCTTTGACATCTGATCTTTGACAAGTAGTAAATAAATGCTAAAATGCAAGAAAATATATAATTTAGTTAATTTAAGTGAATTTCATAAATGATCGGTTTACTACACGTATGTATATTATATAGTCACTTACTAGCGAAAAGTTGTTACATTATTTCACTCAATTTTTACCGAGATCTACGGCACGCTACACAACCAACTATCTTTTTCGATCAATCGCGATAGTGTCACTGTTAATTTAAGTTCTGCTACAATTTCCATCTAGATTTACTACCTTTATACAACTATCAGTAGTAGAATAAATAATAAATAACATAAAATAAGCTCCGTAAAGACTGACAAATCCACAAAATTTCAAATCAAATTCAAATGTGTCAAATGAATCGTCAAACAGAACTGTCAAGGATCCCCACCCTAGAGAGCTTTTTCCGCCCACCATGCATGAATACATAGATAGCATTATGCTCCTTCCTTAGTCTTCTTATTCAAAGATAGATGGTTATTATCAGTTATTATATTATTAATTTTGATTATAACGTCATATTTTTGCTGTTGTTAAACTATCACATTTTTCGATAATCATTATCACCCTTTCCGAAGCAATAAACTAAATAAATTTTGTGCTTCTTTAACATTTTGAAACAGTAAAAAATATAACGTTAAATTAAAATTCTATCAATAACAATCTATCAAAGATTGAAAACCAAATTGTACCGTATGATCGAATAAAAACGGCGTCAGCGATGGCTATGAAATGAAGATCGCTGTCATTTTATATGTAAAATTATATAGGAAATGTCAGCGATTGTCATTTCCCAGCCAACTGGACGCCATTTTTTTTCGAACATATGGTATTATCATAGGAACGCGTTTTAATTTTTAGGATTTAGAAAAAATTCAACTATGGTATGGAAACTTGGAAAAGTATAAACGGGATTAACCTTTTTAGAACCAGGGAAAATTTTATATAAAGAATGCATTTTTCTCAAAAGGTCAATAATAAATAAGTTTTTTCTTTTGTAAAGACATTCCGGGAAAATACTATACATTGACTTGTTTTGACACAACAGTTTTTGAAAATTTGATATAAACCAATACATATATATTTATCCAGGAACATCGGAAGATTGTCTTCCATGCGGTTGTCCAGAAGGAGGAGCTTGTATCCAACTAGGAGACGACGAGATCATGTGCGTGGAATGCCCCACTGGATACTCAGGTCCCAGATGTGACATTTGCTCCGATGGATTCTTCGGCGATCCCACAGGACGTTTTGGACCCCCCACCCCATGCCAGTTGTGCGAGTGTAGTGAAAACATCGACTTGAACGCTATAGGGAACTGTAATACCACCACAGGAGAATGCTTAAGGTGTATCCATAATACTGGAGGATCCAGATGTGAAATTTGTCTTCCAGGTGAGGTACTAATAGTACGAGAGCTAGCAACGTCGGAAAAACAAGTATTTTAAGACGTCTGGCTCTGTGATATATCTTTTACTATGCTCTCTAGAACAGCATGCGGCCCGTCTGGCTGCCGGTAAACGTTGCGTTCCCTACTGCGCATTGAAACAAGATCCTATATTTTTATTAGCCCTTTAAATTCTAGTATTGAATATAAATCGAACATGTCTCCATAGCGCAGTGCGTAGAGTTTCCGACAACAAACCGATGATTCAGAGTTCGAATCCGGGTCAAGGCAAAGACTTTTTTATTTTTTATTTTTTTTGTTTATATTCTGATAGTAAAGTATTAAATATTTGTTTTTTTTTAATTACCAGAATTATTTAATACTTTACTATCAGAATATAAACGAAAATAAAATGAAAATGTCTTTGGCCTGACCCGGATTCGAACTCTCAATCTTCGGTTAGTGGTCGGAAACTCTACGCACTGCGCTATGGAGACATGTTCGATTTATATTCAATACTAGAATTTATAGGACTAAATTAATAAAAAATATAGGATCTTCTTCCGATGCGCAGTAGTGAACGCGACGGGTATCGGCAGCCAGACGGGCCGCATGCTGTTCCAGAGAGCATAGTAAAAGATATATCAAAGAGCCAGACGTCTTAAAATACTTTCTCGAAAACGTTGCTATCTCTTAGACTATAAGTTACTAAAAAAAAGTGTTTTACTTAGGCTGTATTCCATTTGTTATCTAGCTATGGTTTTCTGTTCTCTCTCTATGTTCTGCATGAAAATTTTATTAATACGGAACAATATTCCTGAAAAACACCTGTCATTATTATCACCAAATTAACCAGCGCAAAAGGCTGCTTTTTCTGGTTTGTATCTCTATTATTATACCGATCTGGTAAACTGCGTAGTCTGGATTTTAACGTGTAAGACAGTGATGTCGACAGCTTAATGGAAAATAAAATATATTAAAAAGAGATAAAAGTTGGGTTGATACATTTCTTCAATGCCGTATTGCCGGATTTTCCATCAAAATTTCAAACCGCACAAGTAGGCGTTTACGAAAAATGTTGCACCTTAGATTGGGACTTTATTTTTCATAATTAGTTACTCATTTTACTACAGATAGTTAACTTAAAGAATATTATAATTTTTTTTTACTTAAAAAAATGCTTTTTTTCTGTCTTCCTGAGAAAAAAAAACCGAGTATATACTATCTTTATTTTAGTAATATATATAAAATTTTTTAGAATATGTAGTTTATTTTTTTCTACACACGCATTTTCCTACACACGTAAAAACCTACAACATTGTATGCCGCTTTTTATTTTGTCTTCTTGTCTGTCAACCGGTCATTTATATTTATCTCTCTCGCCTGCATTAAAAAACAGACCAAGAAGATAGAGTGTCCAGAATGGTATAATTACTTACAATCTAATACTTCTATTTTTTTATGTTGTTTGCGATGTTTGAAATTGTTTAAAAAATCATTTGTGACGTTTGAAAAAAATAGCATGTTCTATTCGAAGTAAAAATGTAATTTTTGTGCCTCATTTCTACTCCTAATAAACTAATATGCTATTAACTGAGGTATCTATATATTATTCCTTTGACAGGTTACTATGGTAATGCTCTGGTACTGCCCAAAGGCGATTGCAAGAAATGCCAGTGCTTTCCTCCCGGCACCCACGATCTTCTTGGTGAACCGATATGTGATCAGAGCACGGGTTCTTGCCAGTGCAAAGCTCACGTAGTTGGCGTTAACTGTGATCAGTGCGAAAACGGTTACTTCAATATTCTCAGCTTTGACGGTTGTCAGAATTGTAACTGTGACCCTGTAGGAGCCTACAATCAGTCCTGTAACTTGCATACTGGCCAGTGTTTTTGTAGACCTGGAGTTACAGGGTAAGGGAACTAAACCATTTTTTACTAAAATGTTAAAAATTGTTTGTGTTTAATATAAATAAATTTAAATTTTCGCTCGCAGTTTACAGGGTGAGTCTTAAATAAGTGCCAAATTTTTTTAAACACGTCTATGAGTTTTTTCGCGAAATTTTTTGGAAGTTGTCATGTTATAGTCTATAAAATGAATAACTTTGAATTTTGTCCGTTATTTTTTACCAACATGGCAAATATAAAATCCCTCTGTCAAAAAAGTTACTGATATTCTTTAAATTGTGTGCCTGAACGAATCAGGTAGGTAACTCTTTTTACTTTCGTGAAATAGAAAAGGAAAATAATAAAACAAGTGACAGTTCTTCCTCTTCTTGCAAAAATCAACACGAAATATCATAATTGACAAAAGTAAAATGTCATCAGCTTTTGACATTTCTAAATATTAGACCAATGCCGTCTCTAATAGAACAGCCACGGAGCGAGATTTATGACGTCACGCTAGTTAGATACTACGGATTAATAGATATGTTGTAGAATAAAATTTTAATTTTTTTTAAATTAATCATAAATTTTTCTGCAAAAAATGATGATAAAACAGTTTCTGTTGAACTTTTGACACAGAAACATTTCAAATTTATGATTTCAGTCCAATAACTATTTAGTCAACATGTATAATTATTTATGTCAATGATGACATGTATTGATAGTTATTATTCCAAATATCTCGAAAACCATTACTCGTAGCGATTTTTACCAAGAGACCTTTTTCACATAAAAAACGTCCGAAAAGTATATTTTTTTACTCAGTAGTTCTATACAGGTACGGACGAAAAGTTATTACTCTTGAAACCAGTTAAAAATATGTAGGTGGCGCCCTCTACCAGTAGGAGTCATATTGGCATTAAAATCAAATTTCTCATGTCAAAAAACTCCCAGACACCAATTTTCATCCAAATATTGACGTTACTTCAGAAATTATTTGGAAAAAATCGAAATAAAAATGAAACTTCTACACCCGGTATCTCCGAAACTAAGCATTTTAGGGCATACATTTATACGAACTTTTTTACTTATTTATATCTGCAGAATATACTGCCGAAGTTTCCGGAATAGAGTTTGGACCACCCTGTATAGCTAAATGATTATCGTAATAAAAACTGCCGTATTTACACTGAGAAACTTTCGTTGTTTTTTTTTTAACAAATCTAATTTCAAATGCCAAGTCTCAAAGGACATGGTCTCTGACAGGCTTAGTCCGCCAAAGGCTTCGCCTGCCAAAGCCTTGGCTTGCCCACAAACCCAAAGTGCCCAAAGATTTCATCGGAAGACCGGGTCTTCCGTGTATGGAGAGCTACTGTGTTGTGTATTTTAAATTTTATTAGTCAACTGACTAAAATGTTTTAGGCTTAGATGCGATCATTGTGAGGCCAGGATGTACGGATTTTCTTTGGAAGGTTGCAAGCATTGCGAATGTGATATTATCGGGTCCAAAGACTTACAGTGTGATGCTTCTGGACAGTGTCCATGCTTGGACAACGTCGAGGGTAGAAAATGTGACAGATGCAAAGAGAATAAGTACAACAGAAAAATGGGCTGTATCGGTATGTATTAAAGAAGATTTTTAATAATTGAACATATAGTTATTTTTTATACAAAACGATAAAATGGTATTTTATCGTCTACCGAAAGGATTACTTTCGGGAGACGATAATGCAATTTTATCGTCGTGTATAAAACAATATTTTTTTTCTATAGCGAGTTACGTTTTAAAAAATATTCAGAAATTATTATTTCAAGGAATTTATTACGAGTAGAAAAAATATTGTGCTGGATTGGCGTTGGTTTCTATGTAATTTGACAAATAAATAAAGCTGTCTCTTTAGTTGTCAGTTTTGCGTCAATATTTTTTAATTCTCTTCACAAAACATCCCCCTTTAGAACTTTTTCTTTAATGGCCATAAGCGGGAGTAAAAGCCCAACCGCCCGAACAAACACTAGAGCCATCACCGGTCATCAAATGGTGTAAAAATTGCGAAAATTTAATCATCTAATTTTGGCACAAGGGGTCGCGCTTAACTTTTTCAATTTTAATTCAATATTCATTGTTTTCAAACTATATTATTAGACTTTGTTGTATTTTGTGAATGTATAAATGTTTTCTTAGTATAAAGTTGCATTATAGTAATTTAAATTATATTACATACATATTTAAGATTCAAATATTATGACATATATGTCAGTTGCCGTCTAAAATGCCTCTTGATAACAAAAAGTTAGTTATTGTCAAAAGTAGTTAAATTCACGTTAAAATATTAAAATTTACAAGTTATAATTAAATATTTTATATTTTTTCAACAACAAACACATAATAGTACAGCGTAATGTTTATATGCAGGTCCAAAACGTTGTCGCGGAAGTTTCAGTGATTTTAGTGTTGTCGGATATTTTTATTTGTGAAATAGAAATATTGCATTTGGATTGCAAAACTAAAAGTGGAAGTTTTATTGCAATGTAAGTAAGCGTTTGTCCATTTTATATTTTACTTTTTTCATACCTACCTACGACAAATATACATAATATATTGAAATTTTATAATTCGTTTTATTTAAAAAATGTTAGAAAACAAGCTTGTAATCCTGTAATTGATATAATTGTTATGTAATATATTCCATTTAAATGTAATATATTACTTTACAATTAAAAAAATGTAAATTTAAAAAATATATTAAAAATATACAGGGTGTTTCAAAACAAATGCGAAAAACTTCAGGGGGTGATTCCTTGTTCAAAATAAAGGGTAGTTTGCTTTATAAACGTTGGGTCAAAAGTCAACCATTAGGGAGATATCGCGGTACAAAAATGGCGGAAAAATAATGTTTTTATTTTTTATCTTGAAAACGAAAAGAGATAGACTAATGAAATTTTATGGAAGCATTACTGTTATGAAAACACACTTTCTGGTATTTTTTTTCATTTTTTTAAAATGAGTGGAAGGGGTTGAAATAAACTGCCCCTATCATTCTTGTTAACGAAATTTAAAGAAAAATATTATCAAACACATGCAAAAAAAATTAATTTGGATAGTTTAGTTTGTTTAGGAACTTTTTTATCTCGTGTATTTTTTTGATAAAACTCACCGATTTGAAATTAAAAAATAAAATGTAAAGCATTACATGTCAGGACAAAAAACATTTTTAGATTAAGAATCTAGTGATAATAACGATAATAATAATCATCTAGATAATAACGTATTGCAGTAGAGTAATGTCAAATAAAATAATATTAGGAACATCCTAAAAAGTAACAGCGGCCGACAAGATTTTTTCCTAAAAAATTACAGCAGCCCACTAGATTCTTGATCAGAAAATATTTTTTGTCCTGACATGTAATGCTTTACATTTTATTTTTAATTTCAAATCGGTGAGTTTTATCAAAAAAATACAAAGAGATAAAAAAGTTTCTAAACAAACTGAACTATACAAATTATTTTTTTGCATGTGTTTGATAAGATTTTTCTTTAAATTTCGTTAACAAGAATGATAGGGGTAGTTTATTTCAACCCCTTCCACTCATTTAAAAAAGTGAAAAACTTACCAGAAAGTGTGTTTTCATAACAGTAATGCTTCCATAAAATTTCATTAGTCTATCTCTTTCCGTTTTCAAGATAAAAAATAAAAACATTATTTTTCCGCCATCTTTGTACCGCGATATCTCCCTAATGGTTGACTTTTGACCCAACGTTTATGAAGCAAACTACCCTTTATTTTGAACAATGGATCACCCCCTGAAGTTTTTCGCATTTGTTTTGAAACACCCTGTATACAGGCATTAATTGAAATTTTTTGAGTTCGCACTCAAAAAATTTCAATTAAAACACGAGAGGCGCTTTATTATTTACTTTCACTTCTTAACATGACAGACGAAGTTCTAAAGAGGGATGTTTTGTGATTCTCTTTCGTGTCAATTGCTGATTGAATTGGATCTAGAAATGGCTCAAAACGAAATAAGTAAATTACCAACAGATATTCAGGCTGAGGCGACAAACGCCATATTCAAACTACTACCATTTAAATCCCGAATAACTTATGAAAAGGAATACAAACATTTTCAGAAATAGAAGCAATTAAAAAACATGCGATAAGAAATAAACTTTTTAACCTATTCTCGCTGTTAAAGTATCATTTAATCTACCCTTGAAAGTAATGGATGTAGTTTATGGAAGTAGTTTGGATATGTAAAGTACTATTTTATCTACTATTTTTGATAGATATAAGGCAATTTTAAGAGTTGCTATGGAAAAAATAGTAATTGATTCTTTCAACTTAATGGTTTGTTAATAACAAGAATTTAGGTTAAAATGACGATTTCTTTTGTACAGATTGTCCGGATTGTTACAATCTTGTGCAAACTGCTCACAGAAATCACACCAACAAGCTTCAACGACTGCAAGAGATTCTGTACGAAATTGAGCATCAACCCACTGTGATATCTGACGAGGAATTTCCCGACGAACTGGAAAAGATGGAAAACGAGATCGACGAGTTTCATGACAATGTCAAAAACGGCACAGGAACTAACAGTGTCTTTCAGGTAATAGGCCTAACTATAGCCTGTCCAACGAGGGTAACAGTGGCAGTTGTGTCTGTCATTTCTTCTCTTAGTCGTTGGTAGACTATATTATGTTAAGTAAAGTAAAGCAAATGTTGTGTTAACGTTTTTCTTTTGCTCCCAAGGCTAAAGACTTTGCTGTAACACTAGGCTTAAAAAGTCAGCGAAAATCGAATCTCGATATATCTTTTCAAACCGAAGATATTGGCAGAAATGGAAATAAATATGAAAAGTAAATAATAAAATAATATTATAATAAAATATAAGAAAGTAACAATTAATTTGTACTAATGTCGATAATATAACAGAATACCATAATGCCAGATGTATTAATATCAAATAATTAAGATGAAAATCACAGTGAACGAGAAATTGCGACTCATTGAACTCATACCTAGTAGGTTTTTGAAAAAGGTGACTTTTGATGTATTAGATCAACAATTTTGACAGAAGATCGAAGAAGCGGTTGATGTCATTGCGGTATTTTTTGAATTCTTGGTGAATCGAGAAATTTCTGGAAAGGTTTATGCAGGGCAATATCCTCAAAAGTGCTGTTACAACGTAGAATGATAAAAATAATTAGTGACATTTTTCATGGCGTCATAATATTCTTAGAAATTTGCAGTAGTTATGTATTTATTCTAACAAGATTTTTTTCCTATAGGAAATTATGAATATGAGAGAACGGGAAAAAGACGTCGCCAGAACTCTGGAAGAAATTTACGAAAATGTTTTTACGACCAGCGAAAAAACTAAGAAGACTCAAATGAATCTGGATCACGCTGAGGATTTCCTTCTTGAAGTTGAAGATCGACTAAATGAAGTTGAAGAAACTTTCGAAGCCCAAGCTAGAAAATCTCTCCAAGAAGCATGGGAGAGGTAACAAATCATATTTAAATTATTTATAATTCAGAGTGTTCAAAATAATTATTATCATTATCATGTCAGCCAAAGAATATTGACAAAGCTTAGTGTAGAAAATAAATGTAGGTACACAATATAAATAAATTTGTTTGTCTTTGAGACGGTAGAAAAAAAAAACAGTAGATATGTATTCTCCGCGAAGATAAATGCATTTTTGCATCCGTTGGAACCAATTCTGAAAGCAGTTATTCCACTCGCTTTTTGGTACCTTCAAACTTCTAATAACTGCATCTTCTGGGGACTGGAACCTTCGACCACGCACTTCTTTCTTAATTTTTAGAAAAGTAATAAGTCGTTAGGACTTAGGTCGGGACTATGTGGAGGATAGTTCAACAATTCGATGTTTTCTTGCTTTAAAAACTCAATTGTTTTTCGAGCCGTGCGGGAACTTGCATTGTCTTGGTGGAGGATCATTCATCGTTGAGTGTTGGTAATTTTTTTTTTTTCTCTGTTTAGATCCAAAGTTGTTGGTCAGCATTCGGAAAAAATGACCAACGTAGCCCAAGAAGCCAGAAGTTTGGCAGATCTTCTCGACGAAGAAGCGGAAAGTATAACAGCGAAGGCCAAAGATGCGAAAAATAAATCAATCGAGGCCTACGAAAAAGTAAAGCACGTTCACGCCATCCAACAAAATGTCAGTACGGAAACCAGGAAACTCCAAGCGGATGTCCAGAGTGCTGAAACCAAGCTTAACAGGACCAAAGATTGGACTGAAAACGTCAACGAAGAATCATATGAGGTAAGTTTTTTTTATAGATTATGTGATATACCAAATATTTTTTTTAAAGATTTATTCTACCGCGTTGCCCGATGGCTTTGTTCACTGCTCATCGGAATATTAGATCTAATTGGTCAAACCTTTACCGCCCGCACCCTTTGTTCCCCGCGACACTCTAGCGACGTTGGATGTGTTAAGGTGGTTCGTGTGCACATGTAATCCGTGCACTTGCAACTTGCGATTGGAATTATCCTCGGAATTATCTTTAGATCTTATAAGCTTCGCGGATAAGTAAATTATTCGCTTCATTTTTGTTGAGGACACGTCGGCGACATTCGACTATCTGATTATATTTGTCTTTGACATTGACTGACCGATCGTCTGTTTGTGCATATGTCGTTCTTTACGAAATAAATTATAATTTTAGTCCGGGTAATATATATAATAGAAAATATAGAAATAATATACCGGGTGCGTCTCAAAAGTGGCTCACCCCTATAACTGTTTTATTTTTTCAGTTAAAAAAACGAGATTTGGTATGTTTGTATATGACATAAATTAGGATTGATTGACGTATTCAATTGTTTTCGGTTACTTCCTGTTTTACCGGAAAGGACAACAACTTTTGATTTTTAAATGGCACCCTCGGTATTTTTTTACTTTAATTGATAGAAAATAACACTCTGAATTTAATGACAAATCATACGTTAACTTTTGACATTTTCGCATAAGGTTTATTTGAAATTATAACTTGCGGTTCGTAACGAAAATTTGATTCGAAATACCAAGTGTGTGGTATCAAATTATATGCTAATGAGCCACACTCGTTCCATTTAAAAAAACTGAAATATGATTAAAAATACGATTTGAGGATTTTCTAACCCAAGTAGCATTTTCACGACTTGCGACCACATATTTACTAAACACAACGTTGGATTAGTTACAAAAAATAGTTAGCTCCCTACCTTGGGTATTAAAATAAATTTAAACGTTTTTATAACGTTGTACCGACGTTGGACTAGTACTACAGCAAAGTAGAAGCTTCTGCGACGTCGAATAAACGTTGTCTTGTAACCTTTTTTGCTTAAGTGATCTTTAGGTGATTTGGACAACGTAGTTACAACGTTGGATAATATAGAGTTTTCCGACGTCAGTTTCAGGACCTATTCCAACGTTATGCAAACGTCGTCTGTTTTACTAATTCCAACGTTGTTTAGATTTCCTTATTCTTACGTTGGTAGGACGTAGAGTCACTACCTTTTTGCAACTGTATTGAACCATAACCTTAAATCTTAAATTTTCAATTCATTGTTCTGTTCAGTCAGACAGTTCAGTGCTGTTTTTGTTTTTATAAAAAAAAAACTTAATTAAAATGGGACATAAGAAAGGTACATATAAAACTAAATTTAAATATACATCGACATATATTACCGACACTTCCTCGTTTATTTAGATTATAGAGGGCGGCACAAGCTAGACTCTAGAATGACTAAATTAGGCAATCTTGCGACTAGTATACTACCTGTTAAGGCCGAACTGCGACTTTATTAGTCCAGTATGCGACTACTCGAACTACTCCATCTTAATCTCCAAAACAACAAAGTTAAAGCCGCCATGTTGTTAAATAAGAAAATGTTTCGTTCTTAAAATAGCAATTCCTGCTTTTTGAATACATTAACTTGAAATATTTGACCCTAAAAAATACGCGGAAACAATTTTTTCGAATGCGAATAAATTATTCTCATTTTACTAAAAAAAAAATTCAAGAAAATTTTTAAAACTTCTTTAATTTCAAGGCCCATTAGTATTTTTTAAAGTAGAAACAATACATTTATCAATAAAGTTGTTTGCGTTTAACTTTTTACCTTGGGTAACGAGTTACAGAGTCGGTTAAAGTGTTTCAATAATTATGATCTTCAAACATCCTCCACACTTAAATACTTTTGTTTTGTTTTCCTTCACTGCCATCTGACATATGTCTCTAACTAAATTATAAATATAATATTTTTACTATAATTATCCCAATTTAGGATAAAACGCGACTTAGACGCCATATTAGTTTTGTATTTCTGTGAATTAGGATTTTAAACAACGTTGCAGTTTGTACTAAATTAGGCTTCTAGCCAACGTCGGTATCCAACGTTGTTTCGACCCAAAAATTATTCTCCAAACTGTGCAGACTAGGGTTGGCACGAGGTGTTTTCGGTTACTTCCTGTTTTACCGGAAACGACAACAACTTTTGATTTTTTAAATGGCACCCTAGGTATTTTTTTACTTTATTTGATAGAAAATAAGACTCTAAAACATTAATGATCAAATCATACGTTATCTTTTGACATTTTCGAATAAGGTTTATTTTTAATTATAACCATGGTTCGTAACGAAAATTTGATTTAAAATAAGATTTTTTATTACGCGAGAATGTCAAAAGTTGACATAGGATATGTCATTCTATTCAGAATGTAATTTTCTATCGAATAAAGTAAAATAATATATAATAAAATCGAAAGCTGTGGTCATTTCCGGTGAGACAGAAAGTGACCAGAAACAATTGAATACGTCAATCGATCCTAATTTATGTCATATACTAACATATCAATTCTCGTTTTTTTTATCTGAAAAAATAAAAAAGTTAGAGGGGTGATCCACTTTTGAGACGCATAAATATAAAATAGAGAAAATAATGTTGTTATTTGGATATTAATTATTTATTGGATAACCTGAATTCTCAGCGGAAAATTTAAATTCCAGTCAATTTCGCCCCGCGCCGAATATGTTCATGGTTGGCAACAATGAATTTAAAAATCGCGCCTTTGATGACGTAACTAAAAGTTTAATCGGTATCGCTTGTATCGTTTCATTTTGATATATATTATTAGCTCCATTTCATATACAGGGTGTTTCAAAACAAATGCGAAAAACTTCAGGGGGTGATTCCTTGTTCAAAATAAAGGGTAGTTTGCTTCATAAACGTTGGGTCAAAAGTCAACCATTAGGGAGATATCGCGGTACAAAGATGGCGGAAAAAAAATGTTCTTATTTTTTATCTTGAAAACGAAAAGAGATAGACTAATGAAATTTTATGGAAGCATTACTGTTATGAAAACACACTTTCTGGTAATTTGTTCACCTTTTTAAAATGAATGGAAGGGGTTGAAATAAACTACCCCTATCATTCTTGTTAACGAAATTTAAAGAAAAATCTTATCAAACACATGCAAAAAAATTAATTTGGATAGTTTAGTTTGTTTACAAACTTTTTTATCTCTTGTATTTTTTTTATAAAACTCACCGATTTGAAATTAAAAATAAAATGTAAAGCATTACATGTCAGGACTAAAAATATTTTTAGATTAAGAATCTAGTGATAATAATGATAATAATAATAATCTAGATAATAACGTATTGTAGTAGGGTAATGTCAAATAAAACAATAATAGAAACATCCTAAAAAGTGACAGCGGCCGACTAGATTTTTTCCTAAAAAAATTACAGCTGCCCACTAGATTCTTTATCTAAAAATGTTTTTTGTCCTGACATGTAATGCTTTACATTTTATTTTTTAATTTCAAATCGGTGAGTTTTATCAAAAAAACACAAGAGATAAAAAAGTTTCTAAATAAACTAAACTATCAAAATTATTTTTTTTTTGCATGTGTTTGATAAGATTTTTCTTTAAATTTCATTAACAAGAATGATAGGGGTAGTTTATTTCAACCCCTTCCACTCATTTTAAAAAAGTGAAAAAATTACCAGAAAGTGTGTTTTCATAACAGTAATGCTTCCATAAAATTTCATTAGTCTATCTCTTTTCGTTTTCAAGATAAAAAATAAAAACATTATTTTTCCGCCATCTTTGTACCGCGATATCTCCCTAATGGTTGACTTTTGACTCAACGTTTATAAAGCAAACTACCCTTTATTTTGAACAAGGAATCACCCCCTGAAGTTTTTCGCATTTGTTTTGAAACACCCTGTATATTATTTTTTTATAATTTTTTACTGATTTTTAGGTCAAAAATGCCGCTCTAGCTCTCCTCAACGACGTCAACAACTTGATCGTACCGGAAATCGATACCGAACAGCTCAAACATCGTTCCAGCGAGCTGAAGAACGAAGCCCACAGATTGGAGAACAAGACCAGAGAACTGTTTGACGGAACTCAACGCCTCAGATCGTCTATTGCGGACAAAAACGAATGGAGTGCCGAACTCATCGAAAACGCAGTGGAACAACAGGAGGAAATAGAAGACCTACGCAACGATTTAGAGCTTTCGCAAAGCCAAGCTGATAAAGCTATCGATCTGTGGAACGATATCCTTGAAAGAGCCGAAAGCAATTTCAAGCTGTTACGCGACTTTGACAGTGAAACCAACAGATCAAAGGAAAGCGCGGAAGAAGCATTGAAAACCATATCGGACATCGAGGAAATTATTTTTGAAACTGAAGGAAAAACTTTCGATGCTCAAAATGCTTTGTTGGATGCTCAGTCCAATGCTGATCGTGCTCTGGAGAAAGCGAACCAAGCGGATGAATTGGCTGAAAATGCTTCTATAAAAGCTGAGAATATCAAGACTGAGGCTGAGGATCTGTTTAAGAATACCAGCAGGCTTAGCGAGGAGGCTGGGTTGATGTATGACAGGGTGTTGCATAGCGAGGGTGAATTGAAGAATTTGCTGGATAAGGCTAGGAGTAATGATAGTTTGCTTAACGAGGCCAAGGAAAAAGTAAGCAAAATAACTGTAAATCTTATTTAGGCTTAAGAAAAAATAATATGTCTCTATGATTTACAAGAATATCAGGCTTAGTAGGTCTGTTTCTTATTGAATAATTACTTGGTCTGAATTTTAACGTGTAAGACAGTGATGTAGACAGCTTAATGGATAATCAAATGTATTAAAAAGAGATAAAAGTTGGTTTGATACATTTCTTCTATGCGGTATTGCCGGATTTTGCATCAAAATTTCAAACCGCACAAGTAGGCGTTCATGAAAAAGGTTATTGCATCTAGGGTCGGAGCATTATTTTGCACAATTAGTTACTCATTTTTCTACAGCTGTAATAGGTTATATTTAGCTTAGATATATTATCTTATTCATTTCAGTAGTATACATGAAAGTTTTTAAAATAGGTTATTTTTTTCTATACACGTAAAAACCGGCAACATTGTATGCCACAGTTTATTTTGTGTCTCTGTCTGTTAACCGGTCATTTATATTTATCTTTGTCGCATGCATTAAAATAATACAGATCACGCAGATGAAGTGACCAGGGCTAATATACAGGGTGATTCACGGCCATGACACGCTAGACGTTTATGGAGAACCGCTGATAGGATTTTTTTGAAAATTTGGATTTTTGCATAAAGGCACCTGCTCCATCCGTCTAAATTATTTTCAGCATTACAGTGTTGCCGCTTCATACTAAAAGTGGTAACATCTTTGTGATTTTAAATGGAACACCCGGTATGTTATTATTAAATTTTTGAAAATGATCTCTCTAATTTTTATATTATACTAACCTATACCTATCCTTATTTTTCGAGATAAAAAATAAAACATGTGTAAAATTAACAAAAACATGATCTTGAATAAGCATTGGTTAAATCCAATGACATCTAAATAAAGTAGACCCGGCATTTCATTCATAAAAAGGAAAAGATCAGAATCAGACATTCGTTTCTTGCTCTATGCGAGTGGGAACAAGACGGGCTGATCGCAGTCATGCAGGATTCCCGTGAGAATGGCAACGCTGTTCAGAGATCTTGAGAAAGTGTGTCATGGGCGTAGTTTAACATATTTATTAATCCGTGGTATCTAACTAGCGTGACGTCATAAATCTCGCCTCGAGGCTGTTCTATTAGAGACGGCATTGGTCTGATATTTAGAAATGTCAAAGGCTGATGACATTTTACTTTTGTCAATTATGACATTTCGCGTTGATTTTTGCAAGAATAGGAAGAACTATCACTTGTTTTATTATTTTCCTTTTCTATTTCACGAAAATAAAAAGAGTTACCTATCTGAATCGTTCAGGCACTCATTTTAAAGAATATCAGTAACTTTTTGGACAGAGGGATTATATATTTGCCATTTTGGTAAAAAATAACGGTCAAAATTCAAAGTTATTCATTTTATAGACTATAGCAACAATAATAAAGATCTTTGTTAAACAAAAGAAAATTTCTAAAATATCTACTTATTTCTGGAACAGTTTCTTCGCGGATAATCGGGACCTTGTACTGAATAAATAATTAACTTTTCATTAGAAATTACCAAACAAAAAATAAGTAATGCTTTATAAAACATATCAAACAAAGATGCATTCATCTTTTAAACTATATAATTTTTTATAGCATTAATAAACAAAACAAAAAATACATTGCTCTATTACCACAAACATTATACCATCGAAAAAAGAAACGGCGTAAAAAATGACAATCAGTGATCATTTTGGCGAGGTGATATGTCATGACCCCTAGTCTTGTTTATTTTTTAATGGCACTTACTGGCAGTAGTAGGCCTTAAGGTTGTATTTGATTTTTAAATGGTGTAGTATAAATTCGAAATTTTTTTTTTGGATATCGGTTTGTGTTTCTGGAAACGTTCTATCCTTTTATAATTTTTCTATAATTAGTATTAGTTTTTCACAAGCTTTATGCCAATTTTTAATAAATGACATCTAGAAATAGACCTCGCCAAAATTATATTCGATTGTTATTCCCAGCAGTCTTCGATACCGTTTTTTTTTCGATCATTCGGTATTTAGTATGTAATATCCAACGTACTTTTCTCTTAACTTTTTTCAATCATTATATAAATCTATTTTTGATTTTACACTAAAAAATCATCTTTAACAACTAAAAATCCTAATAACAATCAGTATGATAGAAAAAAAGGCCTCCAGTTGGCTTAGAAATGAACATCGATGACATTCCCCATATAATTTTACATATAAAATGACAGCGATCTTCATTTCATAGCCATCGCTGACGCCGTTTTTTTTTCTCGATCATATGGTATTTCGCTTATGAACATTTTTCGTAATTGTGGCATCTTTAATTTTTTTATATATCTTTTCAACAAATTAATCGCATTTGTATACTTAGTATTTGTATACTTGGTTTTAATAATTAAAAATTATGAGCAAAATATTCAATAAAACTAAACGTGACGAAACTAACTTAATGTAATTCATTACTTATTACGGTACATTCCAAAACTGTGTGATTTACTAATACATATTTCCAAAGATTTTTCTCTATTTTACCTTTCGGCACCGCACTGATGTAACATAGCATTACTCACCTTCGAAATGAAACTTCTAGGTTTAAATCGTCCCTATTTTTGCAAATTAAGCAAGTTGGCACCATTGTCTTATTGTTTATCAATAAAATCACTAAAAACAATACCACAAAACACTAAAATATCTGGAAATCACCTCGTAAAACATTTCGAAAAACTACAACACATTGGCAACGCCGTAGAGCAATTTTTACGAACGAATTCGAACTGGATGTTTTGTTGGCTGCCTAAATTTAGGAGTGAAGATAGTAAAATGCGTACGTTTTCGGCATCAGCTGGCGTTGCGACGTTGTCCATTGTTTTATGTTACCCGGGCCCCATGGGCCCCCCCTCTGTATCCGCCACTGACAGATCGAATATATCGACTTTGGTAACTTATAACCCAAATTTCAACTTTAAAAATGTTTAATTCATGATTTTATCAATGCTTATTCACGATCGTGTATTTGTCAATTTTACACATGCTTTTTTCTTAAACTATTAGAGATAGGTATAAGTTAGTATAAGAGAAAAATTATGAGATATGAAAGTAGTTTCCAAAAATGGAATAATATACTGGGTGTTCCATTTAAAATAAGAAAGACTCTACCATTTTTTGAATGATGCGGCAACACTGTAATGCTGAAAATATTCTAGAATTATGAAGCAGGTGTCTTTATGTAAAAATCCAAATTTTCAAAAAAAAATCTGTCACTGTCATTATCGTTGTAGGTTGGTCGCGCAGGAAAATACGCAAACTCAGCCCAAATCCGAGTCTCCGAGCTGCTCAGCGACGTGGAAGGCATCATTTCCGAGCTCCAGAACACTCCGGAAATCGACGACGAGGAACTGAACCGACTCGAAGAAGAAATCAACCTCACAGAGTACCACCTGATCCAAGCCAAACTGGACGAACGCCTGGCCGAGCTGCAAAAAGAGCACAAGTCCCAAAACGACCTCATCGAGAGCTACAAGGATCAGATCAGAACGCTGAGGCACGAGGTCAGCAATATAGAGCATATTGTCAGTTCTTTACCCGACGGGTGTTATAAGAGAGTCGAGTTGGAGCCGTGAAAAAAACATTCAACAAGTGATAAGTTTTTTGTAAAATTTTTGAAAAAATACTTCTAAATTTACTAAGGTCTGATTTTTAGCTTTACCAAAGACTTCTTTTTTATACTTTTTTATTGTTTTAGATTAGACTGTTTGTTTTTCTATTGTATATTAGGGATGTATGATGGTTCCAATGATATCGATATTGTATAATTATGAGTTCAATAAAAAAATCGATTAATCAATAAATTCTCCAAACATTGATATTTTTGATATACAGGGTGTTATTTAAGTTATTTACGTTAATAAGGAGCCTAATCAGATAAAAAATGAGTCCAGTGGCGTGCTAGAAGGCATTTAAACAACGTTTTTAACGAAGAAATTTTGCACCTTTTTTGCCTTTTTTAATTATTAATATTTTTAATTATTTTTTTATTTTTATTAAATTTAATATTTTTCTCTATCTTGTTTCGTTTATGAGATAAAAAATAAAAACCTCTTCATTGCTTGTTCTTGGGACCTGAGAGAATAATAATAATTGAATTTACAATCATTTCTAAGACAAAAATAGACTATTAAAATTGAAAAAATTAACAGCACAGTTTTTAATAGTTTGTTAATTTTAATATTTTATTATGTTGTTCCTGGGATATGGAATAGAATGGTTTTATTTTTTTTTTGGGCAACGAAGCAATATATAAAAAATCAAGAGCAAAGGCTGAATTTTAAGTTGCTTAAATGTTAAAATAGTCAGTAGCGCACAATCCTTTTGTCATTTTAATATTACATTACGTACATTAGTTTAATATAGAAAGTGCTCTACAGGAATCCATTTTAACTTTAATCTAATCAAGGTTTTATTATCCGCTTTCAATACTATTCACAAAATTGACTAAGAGATTATTAGACGTATTTGTGTTTTTTACGCGTAGAAATTTTTGTTAAGCGTAAAGAACTATTTTTTACGTGTAAAAATGTATACCTGACGTGTAAAAAACAAGTGTTTACGTTTATAAAACAATATTATACGTGAAGAACTATTTTACATGTAAAAAACATTTTTTTTTTGTTTAAAAACAATATTTTACGTGTAGAGAACTATTTTTTAGGCGTAATAAATTATTTTATACATGTAAAAATCTATATTTTACGCGAAAAGAACTATGTTTTACGTATAAAAAAAATGACGTGTAAGAAAGATCTTTTGTATAAAAAAAACACATTTTACACGTACAACAAGGTTGACTAAGATATAAAATTAAAAAATAGATATTTACGGAAAACTAGAAATGTATTTGTCTGGGGCACTGTATACATGTTATAAATATAAACTTTTCGTTTTAAAATCACTCAAAAAATCACCCCTTGAAGATTGGCTATGTATTGAAATAACACCCTGTGGACAAAAAGTGACTTAGCATAAATGTGCCATCATACTAATGATGTTATTAATTTTAAGTCTCTCTTATTTTAAGAACGCTTCAAAAACTTCAATTTGAGATACTAAACAAAAAAATTATTTTTATAATTGCAAACTCCAATATTCAAACTCCAGAATTTACAGAAGCACTGCAAATGGAATCAAAATTCTGGCTCTATTTTGAGATATCAAATATGAAAATAAGAGATAATTTTTTTTCTATTATTATTGTTTATAGCAACCAAATTACATTTTTGACAAAACTGTTTATTCTGAAGTTGCAATTACAAAAATTTCATTAAACACATTTTTTTCTATCATCCCTAAACATATTTTTTATAGTCAGAAATATATTTAGAAATAAGGATTTTTACTATTGATTTTTTTTGTATTATTAGAAAGGCTGATAATGTTTAGAGGAAAAAAATAAATTTGAATATACTAAAAAAAGACTTCATTTTTTACTTATTTATTTGTTATACTGTATAAAACATATTACCAACACCATAATAGCACTTAAAATATTACATTATAATAATAATACCAGAATACAAGAAATAATATGAGTTAAAATTATTATATAAATTTAAATATATCTATTATTACATAAAAATTATTAATCAGGAATTTCGAATTCGTCTTCAGTTTCGCAACATTTCTCTTCTTCAGCACTGTCATTCTGGTTATTTTTGCAACAGTTTACTACAATGCAACATTTTTTGTTTCCAGAACATGTTTTGGAACCATTTATATCAACACAGCAGTTTCCTTCATCTTCAGCATCAACGTTTTTATTGTCATTACAACAATTGATGATAATACAGCAATTTGGTTTCGCTTCAGGCGTTTCTGTATCACTATTGCAACAGTTTTTAACAATATTGCAACATTTGTTGATTTCTTCAGTGTCTGATTTGTCATTGCAACAGTCAGCACCAAGCTTGTTTTTGTCTGTACAACAGTTTACAATAATACAACAACTGGGTTTTGCCCCAGGTGTTTCAGCATTTTTTTCTTCATTATTACAACAGTTCTTAATAATATTGCAACATGTGTTGCTTGCTTCATTGTCTGATTTGTTACAACAATTAGCACCAATCTTCTTATCGCCAGTACAACAATTCACAATAATACAACATTTAGGTTGTGTCCCAGTTGTTTCAGTTTCTTTTTCTAGGCTATTGCAACAGTTTGTAACAATATTGCAACACTTTCTGGTGTTTGCAATGCCAGGTTTGTTACTACAACAGTCCTCATCAACCTTGTTACTGTCTGTACAACAATTAACAACAATACAACAATTGGGCTTGGGTCCAGCTGTTTCAGTAGCTTTTCCTTGACTGTTGCAACAATTCGTAACAATATTGCAACATTTGTTGCTACTTCCAATATCAGATTTGTTACTACAACAACCACCACCAATCGTATTTTTATCGGTGCAACAATTTGCAGCAATATTGCAACAGTTGTATCGATTTACATTACTTGATTGAATTCCTGAGCAACAATTTCTGTTTGAGAATGTTCTTAAATTGTTGCAACAATTTTGATTAACATAGTTTCTTCCAGAACCGCAATTACCACCTGTAGGAAGGTATGGGTATCCACAGCAATTTCCTCCGGCATTATTGAAACTGTTCTTGCAGGAAATTATACTAGCAACAGCTCCTCTGTTGCAACAGCTTCTTGTAGAACAACAGTTTTTGTTTCTTCTGCCGCAGCATGGAGTGTTACTTGTATTACAGCATCTACTTTTTTGACAACAGCTTCTAGTATCACAACATTGTCCTTTGGAGCAGCAATTGGTGTTTCCAGAGCATCCTGTAGGGGCACAGCATGTTCCAGTACTGAAACAGTTCTTTTTACTGCAACAGTTGTTAGAGGGAACGCAATCTTTCTTTGCACAGCAGTTTACTACAATACAGCATTTCTTAGCAGAACAACTGTTTGTTTTCTTGCAACAGCTTGCTTTTACTGTAAAAAATGTATTCTATTAGTAAATATGATTGTATCTTATAGTAAAAAAAAGGGATGAGAGGAATAACACTCACCTGACTTAGGGGAAGGTTTTTTGGTTGCACAACAGTCACCTTCGGGGCAACATTCACCTCCTTTACAGCAACATGCACCATCTGCTTGGCATGTAGACGAAGGTGTACATTTGCAATCTGAGCAAGAACATTTCTTGATTGTTTTTGAACAACAATCAGCAGAGTTTTCATCTAAAAAGAATAAATAAAAAGAGAGTTATTATTAAAGAACATGTTATAAGAGTTTCTATATTCAGAATAAAGATTAAAATAATATGTACCTGTTTCTGAGTCAGTTTCCTCAGCGTTACAGCAGTCTCCCTCAGGGCAGCAAGTGCCTTCTTTGCAACAGCATTCTCCTGTAGTTTGGCATTCGGAAATAGCTGCGCAGTTACAGTCAGAGCAAGAACATTTTTGTGCTGGTTTTGCGCAGCAAGCAACTACAGTTTCTTCTAAAAAGACAAAGAGATAAATAACATCTATTTTTTATTGTACCTAGACTTATTTTGTATTTAGATATAATTCTGAATTGTGGTGCAAAAATATGTTGCAAGAAAATTTTAAAAACTAGGAATTAAGTTAAGAAATATTTTTTTTCTTTTTTTTTGTTGATTTCTTTTAAATATATTATAAAAATGTAGTATAGTGGGAAAAAATCGGCACAGACTGACCTTTTATATCACAACCCTACACAATATATAATAATTGACACAAAAATGTATTAAAATTACTATTTTACTTAGAAAAAATTTAAAGTTTTCAAACACAGATCTATCCAACAGAAATTATCATGGACTGTCATTTCAAAGGCTACTATGATGCCGTTTTTTTATAATATGGCAGTATATCAGATAAAATATTTTCTAAATAGAGCAACTTTTAACTTATTTTATTAAATTTATCAGGATTGTCAGTGATACGATCTTTATTTATTTTTTATTCTAATATTTAATTTTCTGAATGATTTTCCAATGTAAATCGGTATTGATCCAATATATATTTTTAGTTTTAAATCAAGATTTGAAATGATTTATCATTTTTTATTGTTCCCCGAAAAATAAATAAAATTTAGAAAATATATACCTATCGAAAGTTAAGAAAACTGTTAATAAAATCTCATAATTCAGCCATCTTCAAGAAAATGATAATAAATAAAAATTCTGCGCTTTGAGAGAAAACATTTTTGATTTTTAAAATTTAAGATTCTTATTTATTTATACATATTATTGTTTAAATTCAATATTTTAATTATTAAATTTGGTTTAAAATTTGACGAAGGATAAAAATAAAAGAAAAAATAACACAATAAAATAAATGAAAGCATATTTTTTCTTTGTAAATAAAAAATATACAGGGTGTCCCATAAATAAGTGCAAGTATTTTAACTGTATATAGTTCAACCCCAGAAACACGCATTGAGGTTTTTTTTGCAAAAAAAAAAATTTAAAATTCGAAATTTTTTCAAAATTTTTTGGATATTTTTTTAGTTTTTAGTTAAAAACGTAATTTCTTGATAACATGGCAATTTAGGTATTAGATTAAATTTACAAGAAAGAAAATCCAGAAAAGTTCAAGTGGTTCTCAAAATTTTAGAATTTTTTTTTAATTTCCAAGTAAAATGACTTCGTTATTTTGGACTTATTTGAAAAACGATAAAGAGAAAATAGGTATGTTTCTTTTATCAAGATCTAACACCCCTTAAAATACTTGCACTTATTTCGGGGACACCCTGTATAATGTAAAAAATATTGCATATAAAAAGTAAAACTTAAAATTTGTAAATTATAAAAAATGTAACTTAATTAACATGATCATTTTTGAATTTATATTTTATATTAATTTGCAATAAAAATAAAAAGTACAAAAACATAAATAGAAAAAATGAATAAAAAATTGTAAAAATTCATAAAAATATAGTGCCATACAAGTAATTTTTCTTCATACTTTTGGAAAAACATGTATATTTAAAAGTTATTTTACCAAAATAAGATAATGTTAAACAATATCATGAAATGTCAGAATCTCACATGAGAGTACCTACACGTGAAAAAAAGTTTTAATTTAAACAATGAATATGAAAAGCAGAAAAAAATATTTTATTTAATAATATAGAGTTTAAAAATAAATTATTATTGTTAATTAAACGTATTTAGGCAACTCAATCTACAAAGAATACCATTCAAATCGTTTAAATCATTTTAAATAAACATTTATGCAACCAAAGAAAACACTCACCTTGATCAGACATCGCAGTTTTTCGTTAATTTTCGGTTCACTTCGTTCAATTGATCACTAATCGCAGTATTCTGTTCCAAACGGCAGGAAATTCAAAGTTAAATAGCTGAAAGGCGGTTGGTGTGGTACCGTGTGCAGTTGGAGCGTACGGAACTGCACTCGGCACTACTAGCGCTGCAGTAGGTTCCAGAACAAGCGCTGCTTGCAAAAAATGTGACGTGAAACGAAGTACCTATAGGCCTTCTAGATTGTTCGTGAATTTTCGATAGAATAAAATTGTCACGCAGTGATATACGACAGATATAATATTGTACAATTTGGTACGTAACCACAGTACGTAACTTTGCGTGATTAGTACCAATTAATACTAATATTTTTAATAAAAAAATAAGTTTTAATAGTGAAATCGTATTTTTCTTTCGAAAATTGTTAATTTTTGTGAAATTATTGTGTGATTTGTTTAGTTTATTTTGCAAAGTAATTATTCCTACTGAAATTTGTTTTATTAGATTCAAAATGTTCGCATAATTTTTTTACAAAATATGCGGGCAACGAAAAAAATATTTTCATAAATGTCATAAATATACTGGTTGGTTCAAATATATTTTTATACAGGAATTGTAGGTTTTTTAATGGAACGCTGTATACAGGGTGAGTCTTAAATAAGTGCAAATATTTTTAGGGGTAGTAGGTACCTATATTTCGACCCCAGAAACAGATTAAGAGATTTTTTTTGTAAAAAGAAATTTGAAATTTTTGGGATTTTTTTTTGTTTTTAGTTAAAAAATATAATTTGTCATAATATATGGCAACATAGGTAGTAGATTAAATTTACAAGAAGAAAAATCCAGAAAAGATCCAGCGGTTCTCAAAATTTTGGCAAAAAATAATTTTTTTTAATTTTCAAAATAAAATAAGTCGGTTATTTTGGATTTATTTAAAAAACAGTTGAGAGAAAATTTTTCTTTTATCGAGATCTACCACCCCTGAAAATATTTGCACTTACGACTCACCCTGTATATTTTTCTTAATAGGTCTGTCACAAGGGTCTGTCATAAAATTCATCTAGAAAAATTTTAAATTTAATTAAAAATCCAAGAAATGAGTGATTAAAATCTGAGTAGATTTTGAAAATATGATAATTTTTAGATTTTAAATTCCGAAGCTCTCTCACAATTATAAAGTTACAAGTTATTGATGGGTTTTAATTATTGTAATAATTTAATAATTACTAAAATATGCTATACGGCATTTAAAATACAGGGCAATTCCCAAAACTAGACTGTTTTCTTACAGAGAACAAAACAATGAAATTTATTTTTTTTTTTCAATTAAAAAGATGCTATCAGATATACTGGGTGAGTTTTAAGGGACTTTTAAGGGGGGGGGGGGGAGTTAGAAATACGTAGTGACGCGTGATGTGTATTAATTTATTAATTTGTGAAAAGGAATCAAATTATTAATTATTTTTTTTATTTTACGTGTATAAAACTGTTTGTTACACGGAAAAAACTATTTTTACGAATAAAATGCTTTTTTACGTCTAATAAACTATTTGCTACACATAATAAACTATTTGTTACACGCAAAAAACTATTTTTTACTTGTAAAAAATTATTTATTAAATTATTTTATTATGCGTAAAAACGATTTGTTACACGTAAAAAACTATTTTTTGATTGTAAAGACCTATTTATTACACGTAAAAAACGATTTGTTACACCCAAAAAACTATTTTTACTTGTAAACCCCCATTAGTTATACGTAAAAAACGATTTGTTGCACGTAAATAACTTTAATTTTTATATTTACTTCTTTTTCAACATTTCAAACTACACTTTTTCAGACGTGTCCTTTAAATCCTTCAATTTAATAGCTGTTTCAGAATTTTGAAATATTTTTTGGCCACCCTGTACATGTCGAAATAAGGTGCGAATAACAACAACGAGTGCAAATTGTTTTGTTATCCTGCAGTAGAATCGTGTGCAAAATCTTTATCAGCTTTTATCTCATACCAAGTACCTGATATGAAATAGATATATCTGACTTTGTATATTACAAAAGCAATATTGCAAAGAGATATACAGGGTGAGTATTAAATAAGTGCAAATATTTTCAGGACTAGTATATCTCGATAAAAGAAACATATATTTTCTCCGTACCATTTTTCAAATAAGTCCAAAATAACCGAGTTATTTAAGTTTGAAAATTAAAAAAAATATATTTTTTTTGGAAAAATTTTGAGTCACCAGCTTTTTTCTGTATTTGCATCTTTTTTAGTACCGTAACCATAGAATAAAGCTGTAACTATAGTCCTTGTATAATAGGAAAATTTGCGGTGAACAGGCAGTTCTAAAAAGTTTGAAAAATATTCGAAATATCGAAATATATATTCGAAAAGTATACAGGGAAATTTAAAAGAAAATGCACGATTTTCAACATTTTTTTTTTGGCGAAAAAACCTCATAGACGTGTTCCTGGGGTCGAATAATATACCACCCCTGAAAATATTTGCACTTATTTAAGAGTCACTCTGTATAGGGACTATACAGTAAAACTTTTTAGAAAAAGAATTAATATAAATTCAATTTCCTGATATTGTACAGGGAGTAGTAATATATAGTCTGTGAAACGAATAACTTTGAATTTGACAGTTCCCGCGGGCTTTTCTAGTGTTAATTTTATTAGGTTAGCAACTTGCGGCCATGCTGACGCAATTCCGTCTCTAATAGAACAGCCACGGAGCGAGATTTATGACGTCACGCTAGTTAGATACTACGGATTAATAAATATGTT